GATTTTAGATCATGAAATGCGCACGCGTGTTCGTTGTTATAGTATTTTATTACGCTTAGTTACGTGATTCATATCAGTCGCACGATATTATTTACGTACTATGAGACTGTTTGCATAGTGACTCTAAGTAAAATGGAAAGTGTGCAGCAGGAATTTCTCTAATAGGCCAAACACGAGCGTACTTGACGGGCAGGTTTCTGCATTTTCGGGAATTAAAAAAAAACATTTTAAAAGCAAAAGAAACTTTCCTTTTTCGTGTATATATTTTTAAGGAGACGTAAGCTATTACAGAATTCATTCAAGGGGATAATTTTGGGGAACGTTTTAAGAAAAAATGTACATATTTATCAAGAAAGCCAAACAAAACTGAAACGATAGCATCGATTACATTGCTATGTGTAGCAAGTACCGTTTGGTAGGGCGCCGGAAATATAAGAATTCTGAAGTTGGCATCCCGACGTGCCTGAAATATGCTGATAATATGCAGCATATTGCTTTCTATTGTAAGCATAGTATAGTTTTCATATTTAAACGAAATGCTCTCCCTGAAACTTAGCTAATGTGTCATAAAAATGTCAATTAACATATACATTTACATAGTTAGAAGCTATATAAAATGTTATTTAAACGCATTTCCCTATCCTTTTTTTCATACGTGTCGAAGGCATTGTAAGAGACGTACAGTCTGGGCCCAAACTCATGGAAAATGCCGAACTCTGCGACAGATTGATAATTACTAGCAAAACCGATAGTACTTAGGGTTATAATGCTGATTATTGTAAGCCTAATCTCAAGATACTTAAGTCGTTTTGTTATGCCGGGTTTTGAATGAGCCTCTTTTGGACCGTTTGTAAAGCTTATATTCCGTAAATGATAACTACTTAACTAGTGTGCATTTAAGTTCTTATATATTGCAGAAAACATCCACAAACATATAACGTCTTGTATTCCTTGGGTAGCAATGGTAGTTTTTTTTATCAACTTTCATACTTGATAAAAGGGTACATTTCAGTTTAAAAAGTTTCTAATTATGATATATTTTACAACTGTAAAAAGCCTATTCAGACTGGATCGTATAATTCAATTAATTAATGTTTCTTATAACATGATCAGTCTTTATAGTAAACTTTTAGAAGAACTATGTGACCTCTTCTTTTACACTGTAGGGGAATACTTACTTTTGCTTAGAGAGTATTTACATAGTATACAGCATATGTTTGGTAAAATAACACAGTTCTTGCAAACAATAACCCCTAAGTAGGGTAACAGGTATAATGGAGTTGGACTGAATTTCACTGTCTGTGCTTTCCCTACACCCTTGACCTTGACGTGATTACTCACTCCTCCTGATCAACATCT